CGCAGCGGTAGAGAACTTAACAAATATTTTGCATCATCTCCGGTGCTAAACACCATACGGGTTCTGACGATGTGCATCTCGATTGCTAACTCAGGCAGACCTCCATGAACCCCCTACGCTGCATATATATGTGTGTTTTGCGGTTGGCTCACCCGCCAGATGCATCGCTGTGCGGTCCATCTAAGCACCGTTTAGAACGTGGAATATTCGCCCAGTGCCGGCGCCCGCCGGAGTTCCAGGTGATAATGTACGGGAAAGAGTGCAACGAGTGACATCAACAACGTGATTTCGTGAGAAAGCCGCCGAAGCTACATACATGGCACGGGTCTGTCAACACTCTTATAGTCTTCCTGGAAGCTTCACTGGTACTTCAAGTGAAGAAAGCTACAAATGTCGTCCAAAAGTGGGCCCTGCCGGGATATGCGAACCAGTGACTCCTAGCAATACAGGCACATCCCCACACAACCCATTAATAGTGCCTTTGGCTTCATCCCGGAGATGCCCCTGCGGCTGCTCCAGCGTGTTCGTCTTCAAACCGCATCGAATCTCTCCAGATGCGAAAGACTTGTTCGATTTCCTCGCTCGAGACACCGAGGCACAATCCAAAACTCAATGATATCGTGATGAAGAATCTCACCACATCACGTGCGTCAGGGTCAATGTCCTCCTCCAGCAAGCGCCTACAGACGTCAGCGAAGCCCGCATCGGCAGCGACGTGAAGAGGTGTAGAGAAACAATCCTGGAACACAACAACGTGAACGCTAGTTGTTGTTAGGACATCGGTTGGATGAACAGGCAGGGAGGTTGAGCGGTAAGTGGTGCACAGCAGTCTTGATATCAGGACAAGGTTTAAGGGGTTGCTCACCTTGGTGACGCACGACGCCGTGGCCTTTTTGCTAAGGAGGAGCTCAACGCAGGCAAGGTGCCCATCCCGAGCAGCAAAGTGCAATGGCTTCCATCCTTGCTAGAACGGCATATCAATCAGCGGCAACGGCGGAGTGGTAGATAGAACTTTATAGGTTTCACGCATATGCAGTCTCAGTAGAGGCTTATGAAAGCTTGCAGGAGGGCATGAAGCATGCAGTTGTCTCACGCAAACAGAGCAAGGCAATCGTCGAAACTTTCAATCATATTTTGTGGCCAAAGAAAACCGTACGTCGTTTTATTCTGACAACATATTTTTTCTGATGTGCCCATCCTGCTTGCGTTTTATGTTTCGTCTTGTTTCTATTTCCTTGCTTCGGCACCTCATCGTCCTTCACAATACGTCCACTACTCATGTTCAAGATGCTTCTGCCCACCAATCTGCTTGTTGCCACCGTTGTTTACTACAACTATGGCTGCACGAACGTTCCAAAGTACGCCTTCAATTATGACAACTCTAAAACGACCCTTCGGATAGGAAACACATGATGGTCCTGATAGATGTGTTGTACGTCAGCTGTGTTTGTCGATTTATGATTGTTTTGTTGTCGTTTGCGAAAGTTCTTGGATGTCTCAACTGCGAACTAAACATCAACGTCTCGGGGTACAGCAGCATACTGCGCACTGGTGGTGACGTATGCATTGCGACCTTTGCAACACCCGGAGCGCATGTCTACCAAAACGATGTTCAGATCAGGTATACCATTCTGAAACAGATGTTCAACTAGCGGATTGCTCAAATTCGCCAGGGTTTGGGTACTTTGATGTACTCCTCCTTGTATGAACGGGTTCCGACCCATCCGAGAGCAACCTCGCACGCGGCTTTCTAGACCACTCAGATCTGTCCCAGCGTGCGGCCTCCTTTATTTGTCTTTGGCCCAACCTTTGTCTTCGCCTCTAGTCGGGCGCCTCTATCCACCAGTACTTCGAGTAAATCGAGGTTGCCATACTTGGAAGCAAGGTGCGCCGGCGTCCAGTTTTCCTGAGCCACGACGAAATGTGAAATACGAAGGACGACGTACGATGGTCACCCCTCAGTGGTTGTTGTCTCAGCTCTCGTTCATCTCCACACGGCGCCGCGCGTCCTGAAGCTGCTGTATCATAAGGAATGGCCTTCTACATAACATTCTGTCCGGCAAATATGTGCGTTATGGGGGAATAGATCCTCGTTTTCAGGGGCTCCTTCTCGTGAGGGTATCCAACGTCGGAAACACTGCATGATCACGACGTTCAGCTTTACGTGTCGATAAAGTCGGTATGGCCCTTCAAATTGCGACAGTTGCATACATGACGTTTCAGTGAGGACATTTTGACTGTTCCGCGGTACTTCGACTCGTAGGCATTTCAAGGCAGTGCCTTGTCGAGTCCCGCAGTGGACGTCTAACCGCAGGAATAGCAGCTAAAAAACTTGCGGCCAGCCTAGTCATGAGTCTTCCGACTGTGAACTGACGGGGGGGGGGATATGTGAGGTCACATTGCGCTACCGCGCCCATGAATATTTAGCCGCGGAGCCCGAAGCGCGACCTATTTTTCCTTCACCCCAGGAGGGGAAAACAGGCTATATATATCGGCCTGTTTCAACGCGATGCAGGGGCCTAACTTTGATTTCCTCCTTTTTTCCGGACGACCGAATTTGCCCTCCTATTCGGCCAGAACGAAGTCAATAGAGCACCGGTTGACGATCGACTGGCTTCTGTGCAGGAAGAAAAAATGGGCACTCTTCGTCACACCGGTTTGGTCGTCGACAACAGGTGGCCGTATGTGTCCAAAATTCGTAGTGCTGTAGATACCTCACCCCATCCCGTGGAGTTGCCGATGAGGCGGGATTACAAAAGTGGAAATATCAAGCGCACGCGATTCAAACCAGGGAATAAACAGAGGTACCGCTGAGGAGTCTCGCCGTGGTTCAATCCGTTCCGTAGGTATAAGCACAGCAGTAACAGAAGACCTGGTGCCCGCTCTCGGGCTAAACAACATGTACAGTAGAGTCTTGGCGGTTCTATTTGCCGTTGGAAAAATCGATGGATGAAATAGATAGATTGAGGTCTTGCCCACAGTAGCAACAACAGCAGTGGGGAGCGAAGTTGAGGCGGTTGGTGCTGTTGACGCAGTCGCCATGTGGGTTTCAGAACGATGTAGGGAAGGCGTCTTTTGCTGGACAACAATAGGGCGGGGGATAAGGGGAGCAAACGAACGCTGCCGCCTCCAGCAAGTGAAACAGAGAGAGACTGAGATGTTGACAAACGGTCCACGCTCACTTGAAAATGCGGTGCTCCTGCCACGTTCCGTGCCGCGCTGCCCAATGAGTTATATCTAAAGTGTATTTAACCCTGTACATTGTTCATTTTTCCCGGGCGGCAGTTTGGCGGCACTGCTGTAGAATCGCGTGAGTCACGATGTGTGTGTGTGTGTGTTTGTTCCTCCGCCGTTCGTTGGCCATTTGACACCAGCGGGAAGAGGATGCACATTCTTGCAGATCCGCCCAATATTTTCCGAATACGTAGACTATGCATGAAGTGCGGAGGAAGTCTCCATCACACACAGCATCGCAGATACAGACTACTGCAGGTATGAGCCGGCCCCGCGGCTCATGACTCCTCCCTATCTAGTACTATGGCCTTTCAGCTGCGAAAGTAAACGCACAGGGATTCGGAACAGTTGACCTTCGGCAGATTTATTCCGCTACGGTGAAGCTCGTATGATGCCTTCTTATGCTCTCTCTCCCTCTCTATACCGTTGGGATAACCGAAAATACCCGTACTATCATGTCCAACCGCTGAACGCCGGCATCAGCCTACGCGAAAGGGTCTGGGGCCCCAGACAGATCCCTCAGCCAAGGGTAATGCTTGGACCACTCTCCAGAGCTAGGTAGGAAAGGCAAGAGTGCATGGGTGTAGTGTGCAAGCCCTGGTCGCGAGGAGCCTCAGGCGTGCAGTCTCTTTCGCCAACCCTAAGTATTTTCAGCAGCATTCTGGGGGAAGAGACGCCGTTTAGGTTCGAATCGCTGTTGCTGCTACCGCTCCTGCTGCTCTCTTCCTTGGCCTCTGTTTGCAAAACCTTTAGCCTAGAACCCTCTAGTCTAGTCTCGCAAAGTCTATCCATGAACGACGGACTTGTTGTTGTGTTGTTATTTTCGCATAAAATGTCGTTCCGATCCCGCTCAGTACCTTGTAATGTTCGTACTGGTCCAACTGACGCGGACGTCTTTCCGTGGTCACAAGCCAGCTGCCCCCAAAGGGGGGGTACACCTTTCAAAAATATAAAAATAGACATCAGGAAAATTTCTCCAAGGCGCGACTTGTTTTTCTACCCAGACGAAAAGTAGTCTAGAATGCCTTTCCATGTGACCACTTACAGAATCGGTCGCGTTTACTGCGAACCCTCGATGGTCCAGCAAGAAAATAGCTTGCTCTCGCCGAAGAGTCTTCGCCATTGTTCCGAACAGTGGAAGATGCATGGCAGGCACTGCAAGCAGATACACCAGGGCTGCATGTTGTCACGCAGCATGCTTGGGTGTAAACTTCGAAGTGTGGTCTGCCTGCTAGACTCTGGGGCCAACAGATCGCACCGACCGTTCGTCGTCGTTCCATCTGCCTAGATGGACAGCGGTACAATAACTCCGCGGCGATTGGTACCCACACACGCATCATGAGATCTCACCGTACGCAGCAGAGCGTCCGCACGTCCTGCACCTCTTCACCATTTTGTCGTTGACGCGGTTGCAGCAGTGGCACGGCCAAGGTTCTGTCGGTCCGTCCCAGTCGTGAAGCACCCTGGGTGTTGTGATGGCGCTTTCATGGTTAAAGACATGAGCAATCAGTTCTGGCCTGGTAGTCATCAATCTACAGGAAAATTATGGTAGGATGTCGCGTGTGCGACACACCAACTGTGAGAGAACAAGGCATTCCCGGAAGCCAATCCCCCCGTATCGGCCACAGCAGCGCGCCACGCCGACCAGCGCCTCGGCGAGAAATCATGAAACTGAAGCGGCGCCGAACGCGCCGCTTGGAACCCCTCCCTTTTCTATTCCACCGCACTCGCCTTGTCCCTCTTGTGTGGTGACCACACACACATACCTCACACCCCAGTTTCTCCTCCGACATCCGACACCTGCATCTTCTCTGTTGGGTGAGACCATTTTCTGTTTTACGTGCGAATGTGTATAGCTGGAAGAGAAGAGGCGTGGCATTAACACAGGCGTCGATGCACGCACAGAGCACCGTACCGGCTGTATCGTCGGCTTAGCCTAACGCCTCCCTCATCAGTACCTACAGCAGAGGCTGCGTGGACACAAGCAAATATATTGCTACGCGCCCCAACATCAAAAGATCACATCAACAGCAAAGTACTCAGGACTTTTTTGTTCAGGGGCATGTCTATGACCCAAAGGGCCCTGCTGCTACCGTCATGGCATCAGAGCTCCCCTTGGGCTGCTACTGCCATGTTTGGCTGTACAACCGGGGGCGGGGGTAATAGTTTCTTTGGGTCGAAAAAACAATAGCTGCAGGCTCGTGCGTTTAGATGGCAGGGGTGTTTGGGGTGCTCGGCAGAGTATGCAGTCTACGGGGCCTCCCGGGGGGTACGCGGATGAAATGTGTTGATGGGCATGCTGCATAGCGATGGTGTTGCCTATGGCATGTCTCTCACTCTCTGAGCAACAAGGTCTTGAGTCAACCTTCTTTCGCTTTCGGCCTCTGACGAGCTACCACACCCAAACACAAAAAATTGTAAGCCTGGTGTTGGTAGTGGGTATCGGCGTCTGGGCGGTGGGAGCTGGGCCATCGGGGCAGCGGACACCATTTTCATAGCTGGGATAGCGGCCAAAGGGGGCGAGGACAGCAGTGCAAAGCTGGTGCGGTGGCCAATGCGGGGATCGGGACAGCAGTGTTTACAGCTGGGACAGCACTTCGAGGCCGGGACAGCAGGGAGGGTTTAGAGTTTTGGTTTGATATGTCTGGAACGGAAGAGGAAGCAGCTCTGCGCGCTAGGTTGGATGGGGCGCTACGAGCTATAGATGCTGCCAAGGCTGAGACAAAGGAGGCCAAGGCTGAGACGGAGGAGGTTAGGGCAGCACAGCGGCAGTCGGCGGGCACACCTGCCGGCAGCAGCAGCCCAGGAGGCGACGGTCTAGTTGCTCCTGGAGGGGCTTCATCTGCACCCGTGAGGCCAATGTGGCCAGGCGGGGTGAATCATGATGGTGGTACTGGGGTGCCGGGTTTGCCTTTGGGAGGTACAATTGTCAGAACTCCTGTGCCTAGAATCCCGGCAAATTGCACCGCCGACACCTTTCTCATTTGGCGGAGACGCTTTCTGGCCTACGTGGACGGACGACCATAACCTCCAGCACACAATCTCGGCAGAGATGAGGTTAGCGCNCTCTGCGCGCTAGGTTGGATGGGGCGCTACGAGCTATAGATGCTGCCAAGGCTGAGACAAAGGAGGCCAAGGCTGAGACGGAGGAGGTTAGGGCAGCACAGCGGCAGTCGGCGGGCACACCTGCCGGCAGCAGCAGCCCAGGAGGCGACGGTCTAGTTGCTCCTGGAGGGGCTTCATCTGCACCCGTGAGGCCAATGTGGCCAGGCGGGGTGAATCATGATGGTGGTACTGGGGTGCCGGGTTTGCCTTTGGGAGGTACAATTGTCAGAACTCCTGTGCCTAGAATCCCGGCAAATTGCACCGCCGACACCTTTCTCATTTGGCGGAGACGCTTTCTGGCCTACGTGGACGGACGACCATAACCTCCAGCACACAATCTCGGCAGAGATGAGGTTAGCGCTGTCAGTTGTCAGGATGAAGGATACTTGACTCGCCAGTATGGTGCACAGCTGGTTGTTGAGCACAAGTGGGCATGAAAAATTATCATGGAGGCAGCGGTGGGGGCCCCGTTCGAGAACAACCTGTACTCTTGCCATTCCGTGGGAGAAGCGTGCTGGATGATGGAGGATTGGTTTTGGCCGAGCCACCCAGCTGATTGTCGGCTTTTCGTCGCCGAGCTGGACAACATCACCATGAAGGATGATGAGGACCCCAAGCTGTCTTCTCGCGTGTCGCACAACTGGATACCAAGTTGCGGGCTGTGGGCATCGCTAAGAGTGAGCAGAAAGTTGTGCAGATCCTTGTCCGCCAAATTCCCGCACGCTACCATGTCGAGAAGCGCACCAGTCTTTCCAAGCGTGTGATTTAGCCCGCGCGGAGTTGCAGGGCGTTGCGCCTGGTCGATATGCCACGCTCAAGGCCAGCGAGATGAGGGAGCGAGGGTCGGCAGCTGCGACGCCGGCGGTTTCTGCCAACCCCCATGCTCTTGTTGTGGGCCGTGGTTTTGGACACGGCGGCAACGAGGCAAGCGGGGGGGGCGGAGGTCAACGGCGGAATGGCAACACGGCGACGGCCGCGGGCAACACTGGTCCTCTGGGCGCGGTGTTGTCCAGCAGCAACAGCCGCAGTTGCAGGTGCAGCAGTACCCTGCCAACCAACAGCCGCAGCGGCAGATACAACAGTCGTACCAACAGCCGCAGCAGCAAATGCGACAGCAAAAGCCGTACCAACAGTCGCAGATGCAGCCGTACCGGCAGCCGCAACAGCCGCAGCGGCAGATACAACAGTCGTACCAACAGCCGCAGCAGCAAATGCGACAGCAAAAGCCGTACCAACAGTCGCAGATGCAACCGTACCGGCAGCCGCAGCAGCAGCAGCCGCAGCAGTAGCCGCAGCAGCAACAGCCCGCTATGAACGGTGTTGGTGGCATCTACGATTGCGGTAGTAATGCCGTGTATCATCAGCCGGAATCACCACCTCCAGCTGGCGCGCCGATGGGCACAGTGCACAGATGCCGCCGGAGTGGATGGCACAGTCACCACGCCACAGATTGCGCCGCCCCCCGCAGGTTCGAGGGCACGTGCGATGCATGCGGCCAGTACATTTGGCGCAACTGTGCCAAGAGCAACCGGTACCCCCACCTCAACGTCGTCACTTCTGCTGGTGCTCTCGGTCCGGAGCACGCGTACACCACCGCGGATACATCGGCCCTCCAATTTCGTGATGTCCCGGCGGCCGATGGCGCATACCTACAAGGACTGCTGGCCGGCGCTGGTGGCGGCGGCAGCGGTGGTGGTGGTGCTGGCGGTGGCGGCAGCGGCGGTGGCGATGGCGGTGGGGCGATCGTACAGCAGCAGGTCGTGACACCGGGCGGGCCCTACTTTGATTTTGACGACATTTTCCACGGCGGCGGCGGCGTGAAAGGTGAATATGGCGGCGGCCGCGGTGGTGGTGACGCAGCGGGAGCGGGCCCTGAGACGCTTGGCGACGGCGAGGGTACCTTCGGAGGCGGCATCTTCGCGATGCACCTTGTGTGTTCCGTTACCTCATCCCGCCCCGTGCACGCAACATCCAACCATTCCCCACATCGCCCGGGTTCGACGGTCTTCCTTGGAGACACCCGCGCCGTAGTCCGCGTGGTCCCTTGCGGGGAAAAGGTGTACAACAGGCGCCCGCCGCTCCCGAAGGAGCAACTACTCATGCTTGGCGACGGCAAGCAAAACCCGGTAGAGAGTTTCGATTACTTGGATGTGATCTTCCACTGACCTGAGGACGTGCCCGTCACCCTGAAGAATGTTGGTGTGGGTTTGGCGCTAGATATTCTGTCGCTGAACAAGATCCAGGATCGCCATGAGATCAAGCTTAATCGGCATGGAGCGTCGATCTTGGGGGGCCGGGAGCGCGTGACGAAATTCCCTCTCGGGAATTACGTCCAGGGGACTCGCGTTGATCCACTGCCTCAACGCGACTCACCTCCTCAGCCCCCCGCGATGGTTGCGGCGATGCTACGGCCTGGCTCGCAATCCGGCATCGACTACAACGCTCTTCACTGCTCCCTCGGTCATGCCAATTCCAAGACGCTGTACGACACCGCCAAGCCGATGGGTATCAAGGTGACCGGCACTCAGGAGTACTGCGATGGATGTGCGGAATCGAAGGCGATCCAGCGCTCGGTCCCCAAGGTCATCTCCCCCCTCCCGCCGGACGACGCGGCCCCTTGAGCGTTTCGCCATGGACCTAGTCGGTCCGTTCGGCCAATCCAGCTGCGGTGCCAAGTACATGATGCAGATCCTGGACCACCACACCAACTACGGATAGACTTGCTTTCTGCGGGAGGAGAGCGGTACAAACGTGGTGGTGGCCTGTCGTGCGTGGTATGCCTCCATCAAATCGCTCTTGACTACTCACGGGGGGCTGCTGGCGGAGCTGAACATTACGCGGGAGCTCACGGCGGTCGACGGGCCCAAGAGCAAGGGTCGTGTGGAGCGGGGGATTGCACTAGTGATGGAGGGGGGCAAGGCTGCGTTTCTGGAACTCCCGAAGCTTTTCCCCGGAGTTACGTTCCCGGCCAAGGCGCTGTCCTTCCGGGCCATCTGGCTCGTGGCCTTCGCGCGGATCAACGGCTCTCTGAACATCGCAGCGGAGGTGTGCAAGGAAGACAAGCGGTGCCCGGAGGTTAAGCTGTACGGCAGGAGGAGGATCCGAGTGCTTCTGCCGTTCATGATACCCGGCTTCGGTCACCGTCACCGCCCGTCCAAGATGCACAGTAAAGGGGAGCGGTGCTTCTGTTTGAACTCAGACCAGGATCATTCCTCTACGACGCACAAGATCATCACGCTGGCAGGGGTGCCCACGTACTCCGAACATTGCACATTCGGCTTTAGCAGCCAGGGCTTTCGGGGAGATGGGCGTTCTTGGGGGTCGGTAGGGGGGATGGCCGGGGTCCCCGCGGTGGCGGCAGGAGCGGCGGCATCGACGGCGGCAGCTCCAGCGGCGACGTCGGGGGGGATGGCCAGAGGCCCCGCAGTGGCAGAGGGAACAGCGGCATCGGCGGAAACTCCGGCGGCGACGGAGCAGCGGCAGCATGAGCATATGACGGAGCCGGAGAGCATGGTGGAGAGCGGAGCAGCGCGCCGCGCGGTGTTGGCGGAACTTGCGCGGATGGCGGGGGGGCCTTCGCGGGTGAGCACACCTGCGGCACCTGTTGCCACACCTGCCCCTGCGCACTCGGCGGCGGCGCCGCTGGCATCGGACGGACTGTGGACAGAGATGGTGCATGAGGGCGGTACCGGCGGGCGTAGGCAGGGGCAGCG